AAAAGGACTTATGTTCTCAAAGAATACAAATGCAGAACAGAGAAGTCAATTACAAGTAAAAGGCTATAAAAATGCAGATTGGACTGAAAACTTATCAGACAGGAAATCTATCTCAGGTTATTTCACTTTTGTTGGCAGGAATCTTGTTACATGGAGAAGTAAGAAACAAAAAGTGGTGGCACTATCAAACGCCAAAGCTGAATTTCGCGGAATGACAAAAGGACTTTGTGAACTCTTTTGGATTAAGAGGTTACTTATAGAAATTGGCTTTGGCCCTACATCTGAACCGCTATTGCCATAGCTCACAACCTAGTCCAACATGATCGAACAAAACATGTGGAAGTGGATTGACATTTTGTCAAGGAAAACCTAGATGAAAAGATTAATAGACTCCATTTGTGAAGTCCGAAGACCAACTAGCAGACATACTTACAAAGGCAATATCAAGTAAAGATTTCCACAGCTCCCTTAGTAAGTTGAACATCAAAGATCTATATGCATCAACTTAAGGGAGAGTGTTGGTGTGAGCTATTAGAAACCAAAATAGGAAATATAACCAATGTAAATCCCCATTGTCAAGGTGTCAACCATTATGCTAGTCATTAATGGTCTCTTATCAGTAGAGTTGTACTCTTCTTCCCTAATAGACTTGTTCTTCTTAGATTGAGATATGGTGAGTTCATAAATTTGGATAGATCTAACTAGTTCTTCCATCTTAAACTTATCTAAATCATTGCTCTCTTCGATACCATGATTATAGGCCTAAATCTCTCAGATAAAGATCTAAAGATTTTTCTAACAATCTTAGATTCAGAAATTCTCTCGCTTAGGTTGAAGCTAGAATTAACTATGTTATTCAAACTCTCATAAAAGTCATTCAATGTATCCTTATCCTTCATACTAATCTCTTTAAATCTAGAAGTCAACAACTGTAACATAGAGTTTCTTAACAACACAAGTTCCCTTATATATGGTCTGTAAAATATCCCAAATCCCTTTAGAAACCTCACACATAGACACACGTCGAAATTTTTCAGGTGACACAATCATAAATAAAGTATGTAAAGCCTTACTATTCCAATTACACTCATTTAAATTAGTTTTCAACCAATTAACTATAGGAGGGGAGGTGATAACACCATTAACGGTGCTAGAAGGGAAAGTCCAATCATTTATTACTTTCAACTAAATTCGCTCATCCGTCATTTCCAAGAAGGTTCTCTTCCTAACTTTCCAATAGACATAGTTACGGTCATCAAAATATGGCAAGATAGACAATGAACTGCTCTCTTGAAAGTTAAGGTCAGGAATCGAATTTGGAATATAATGCCACTTGAAATAACAAAGTTCGACCTAACAAATACCTAGACGGGATGAATAGGTGAATAACAAGGAATTAAAATTACAAATTAATAGCAATAAGTCACTTTTTAATTATTCTAGATGTTTAGTCAATCGAGTTAATTTTATGTTATATTAAATTGCCACGATAGTTAATAAAGTCGTAAATGACACAGCATTACGAAGAAATCATTTCACAGGATTAAAAACTCCGGGACCAAGCCAGTGACTTTAATTATAAATAATAAAAACTTACAGTATAATCCAGTCTATAAAATCCTCCAGAATCACTAATCTAATTTCTGCAACTTCCAAGACCCAATGAAACGTGTTTCACTCACAACTGCTCTCGATCTTTTGAAATTATCTATCTTCTATTGATCACAAAAAACACCTTATTCTTGTACTCTTCTTGTTCTTTTGGTCTAACCTCCCTCAATCTTCAGCAATCTCTGAAAGCGATTGAGAAAGTACCTTCCTAATTATATTTAGGAAATGGGGGTTTTGAATGTTCTTCCCAACTTGTGGTTGACTGATCTTAAGATGCAGAATTGTTGTTTGATCGCCAAAGGATGTTATGAAGGTAGAATATAATGATCAACCACTAGTTTTCACAAAGTGGGGCTTGTGTATTTAAACTAGAGAGGTATTGTGGTAGTATAGAATAGATAGATCTCTTGAAAATTATGACCTAGGATTTCTTGAAAAACATTATCGTTTGAAAGCCAAGCTAGAACTAGTTGGGCAATAGCCGAGCAATGATAATTTTGTTTTGAACGCTCAAGCATTAGCTTGGCGATATGCTAGCATAATTCTAGCGGCTCTTTCTCAATGTTCCATACTCGAACTTAAAGACTCTTAGTTCATACAATATGTCAACAGGCTCCTTAACTTTTACAACTCTTTTATAATAATTATTTTATTTAAAGAATAGCTTATACAATTGAAGCCTATGGCTTAAGTCTATGTACTTATGTAGTAGCTGACAAAGACTTGATATTTTTCTACTACAAGAGGTCACATCAATCACTCATTAGATCTTTATGCAAAAGATCTCTTAAGAGAAGCAGCTATCAAAGATGCTCCTCCTTGGCTAGGAGGCTTCCACCTCGTTGTGTGAGCTTCGACTAAAGTGGTGAATATCTTTTCTATGAGTGGCTTAGGGTAGGAAGCGCCTTGCTTTGGTCATTGTGCTTGAGTTGCTAGTGATGTTTTGGTTGAAGTACCTTGGCTTCGTCATCTTTGATGATATGGAGTGTGGGCCTTCGGTTAGGCTTCTAAATGGTTGCTGCGTGGGCCACTTAAGTCTCGATGGCGAGGAGTAGCTGTAGTTTTCCTTCCTATTTGATCAAGTTCCTCACTAGAAAGATGAGTCCAAAAGCTGCACCTCTTTCATGGTTTAGCTGGCAGATGGAATACACTCATTGCCCTTATTTAATGGGGATTAAAATTAAATTTTCAATATATTTTAATAAAAGTTGACGAAGTATAATTAACGTTATCTGTTGACTTGGATTTTAAATTAAAATTTTAATTTTAATTCCTATCAAATAGTGGCATAGTGTATGTTGGGATTGCTTGTGCTACAATATTAATTAGCACTTCTTTCTCCCCAGTAGGAAATAAACTCCTACGCTAAAGTTTTAGCATTTGCCACACTTTTTCTTTAATCCCGTTGAAGATTATCTCCTTGCTATGCCTCTTACTAACAGAAGGTTAAGATATTTACTAGGCCATTGAATGTGTTCGAGCTCAAATAGCTCTAACACCATGTGTTGAGTGGTCTCTGATGAGTTCGGCTTACGGTAATCGCCGACTTTTTAATACAAACTTTCTAGACAGAAGTGAGTTTAAAAACTCTAGATTTATACGGATGCAATTATTATTCAACATAATTCACCAAAATAGTTATAAACAAGTTTTAAAAAGGGTGAATTGAAGATTGACACACAACATATGAAAGGTCAGGTGCAATACTTTCATTAATTGAAATTAGGGGATTGATTTACAAAAGGGTAATTGGAACAAAACATCCCTACCTTTTAAGTTTATTGTCGAAAACAACCATACCTTTCATTTTTTGACATTTTTGCCCGTACCTTCCATATTTCTTTGCACAGAAAGTCCTTTTAACGATTTTACCCTCCATTGAAATTAAACAAAAAGAAAAGAAAAGAAAAAATAAAGAATTAATTGCAATCATAGTCCCAAAGTTTTAAAAAAATTATAAATCAGTCATGAGGAAACTTGAATGTACAGGGAAATAATCAAGAAAATGGAGAAATTTTTTAATCATAACCAACGGAAATGAAAAAAATTGAAGATTACGTGATTTTTGCCTCTTTCCATCTACTCTTCACTAAATAAAAATTGAGATTTCTGCTTACCCATTTTTGAAGATTTTCAGTTTCATTGGCTATGGTTCAGAAATTTCTCTATTTCATGATTATTTCTCTGTACATTCAAGTTTTTTTTTTTTAATTTTAAAATTTTTCAGTTCACAATAGATTGTGACCGATTTGTAATTTTTTTAAAAATTTGGGACTATTATTGCAATTAGTTTTTATTTTTTTTCCTTTTATTTTCTTTTTGTTTTATTTGAATAGAGGCTAAAATCGTCAAAAACAAATGAAAAGGACCTTCTGCGCAAAGAAATATAAAAGGTAGGGACGAAAATGTCAAAAAATGAAAGATTAGGACGTTTTCCACAATAAACTTAAAAGGTAGGGACGTTCTGTGTCAACTACCCTCTACAAAATATGAAAGACTCGATACAATTACTTTCATTAATTGAAATCAGGGGATTAACTTTACTCTTATTCATTCGCTCAAGTTTTGTCCTTTTTTTTCTTTTTTTACATTTTTTTGTAATCAATTGCACTCTTTTTCTTTCATTTAGTATTTTGGTCCTACTAAATTTTTAACGAGACAGTTATTTTGTCAATAGTAATTCAAGGGGAGTGTTATGAAATAATAAATATTAATGAATTACTAATCCGTATATCTAAATGGGTTTCTTGCCTAATCTAGAAGGATGTCTATTCATATTGTAATTTTCATTAGAAAAATTTTATAAGAATTATTGTTATAAAATTTGAGTCGTGATTCTTTTAATTTTATTCTTTTGTTCAATTATTGTATCATTTTATAACAAACACAACTTCTAAGAAATAATATTATTAATCATGTAGTCAAATTAAGGATAGGCCAACAGTTTAGGTAACAGTGGTTTCGAGGGTCACGTGTTACAGAAATTCCATGTTGACAGCGCCCATCACAAACAAAGGAAATCTATCGGCTTCACAATTTGAATGCTACTTTGTCTTCTTCATACATTTTTGTCTAAAGGGAGGGTAGCGTACAATGGCATTGCCAGCCACAGCTATCCCCCACTTAGACCAAAATATTCAAAACTGTACAATCCAACACAAGATTTTGTCGATATACATGCAATTATACACTGTTTCTTTTTGGAAAAAAAGTCACCCATTAAAGAAAACTGATCATCATTTTGATTTATACCTGCATCATACAAATTGCTAAGAAACTTGCTTTACATCTCTGAATTTGACCTTCATTTCATCTACTGATCATCTACAATAACAAAGTGTAGTAATATTGGATTGCTAAAACCAAAGACATATATGATAATTGATAAGCTAATGCCGTCTCAAGATGAGGTCTTTTGATATATCTTCTTGCTTTATTGACCCCTGAGAACTATGGGAATGAATTTTCTTCTTTCTTTTAATTGAGATTTTCTTCTTGTGATGCCTCTCAGAAATTGTATCCAGCTTAGGTTTCCATTGTCTTTGCCCAACCAGCTGTTGGTAGTCTTTCTGCAACTGAGGTGTATTGCACACTCTAATATTTTTATCCAAACTGGGCTGCCGATCTTCATTTTCTTTGATCTTTCCTTGCTCTATCAACTGTGTTATGAATTCTTCAGACACCCTTATTCTGAGACTCCCAGAAGGTGTTTTCTGTATATCAAAGGGCCGGCAATTACTGGAGGCATTTTTGGCTAAAAGGGCACAACCAGATTGGCACTGAAGAAAGAAAGTAAATGTAAAGACGGAATGAAACAAGTGTTTAGGCAGAAGCAAATAGTTTTGTCCCAACTGAAGCTTATCTTCCTCTGAAAGTGATGGGATTATCTGGCCTATGTAAAATGAATCAGAAGGACAGACCATGTACTTCGGAAACTCATCAACTATCTCGGATACATGAAGCGGTCGGTTATAGATTTTGACGGTGCCATCGTACTTGATGAGCTTGATGATTCCTTTTCCATGGTGATGAGATTGAAAGTGCTTGCAAGAGATGCGATTGCCCATTAAGGGAAAGCAGTGTGGTATCATTTGGAGGCTCAAAATCTTGATTCCCGTAACTTTAGCATTTGGTTACAGAAAGAAATTTAGACGATAGAGTTGAAAGGAAGAGGATATCTATATATATAAAGTAATAGAGACTTAATCATTTTATTAGAAAAGGAAGAATGATCATTGAATAAGGGAAACGATGAAAAAATAAAATAGAAAATTAAGGAAAGCGAGAGACCCGTGTTGAAATGGTTTTTCCAAGGCATGCAAAATCCTAAATAGTGTTGGATGTGACTGCTAATTAGGGGTAGGCTTAGTATTTTTCCAAGTTCGACTGTCCTGTTGTCATCTGCTGTACGTTCTGCGATCAGGTCAGCCTACTTTGCCTAACCATTTCTTTAAGTTGAATTGAATCTCTTTATTTATTATTTTTTTAAGGAATATTATTTAGCATCAATCATATTAATCTTTAGTCTAAATGGTACTTAAATGTCATTGACTAACGAATCATTTTAAAAGCAGATACATGTATCTACTAAAAATAAAGGTTGAACCCAACTTTGAGGGCTCTCACCGATCCGTCTCTAGAGCTTTGTGAGCGACGTAAATTACGGGATGTGCCCCAATAGAATAGGAAACAAAAGCTATCTGTATCTACTAAAAATAATTTAGATTGACAAATGCTACACAATATTATCATTCTTTTAAGTTTGGAGAGGGGACTGAAAGGCATCGGGTGAAAGTGTTGTGGAAAAAGTGTGAAAAAAGTTTATATCGACTATACATGAAGTAATAGTTTATAACGGGGCTACGTTACTCTACTTATAACTAACATTTTGAAATGAAACCTCAATTCTTTTCAAGTAGCTGACTAAATTCAATCTTAGATCAATGTTTCCTCGTGTTACTTGGTGTAAGTAATTAGCAGCCTATGCACAACATTTTCGTGGATCAATTGAGGTTTCAAGGACCGGTAACGCTTGAAAAAATCTATTTTAAACACGAGCTCAATAATATTAACACGATACAAATTATTGTTCCAAGCTAATACTGTTTCAGCAAATTCGTAATTAAGTAAACTCAGTCACATTTAGTTGGTGAAAGCCACTTATAATCATCGAATGACTAAATCTGCATAGTAGTTATATCGAGCTATTTGGATTGTCTCCGTCGTGTTAGTATCTAATACTAGTCAATATTTGGTGTTTTAGTTTGTTACTAACAAATTTGCACTTAGTAGCACACGTGCACTCACACGTAAATATATATTACCTTGTAACCACCAGAGAGGAAAAATCAATAAGTTTCCATGTCAAGTTTTGCGGCCATCGAAGATTTATATCTCAAATGACATCTTGATTCAACTGTATTGAAATAGTTAGTTGACATATTTAAAATGTTATTATATATTACCAAAGATATAACTAATTTCAATCCTTTTGTAACAGAAGAAAATTTTCATTGTGCTTGGTACATTCAGTTGAACACGATATTAAATTGATATATATCCTTTCTTTTTTATCAATTTAATTTTTAAAATCAAGTAGTTCAATATAATATCAGAATCCATAGTATTTAAATGAAAATTTTGATCAACCTAATGTAGGAGAAATTAGTACCATCAAGATGGCCAGATTTATAATGTTGGATCATCAAGAACATATGTTCCAAAGTGAAAGCGTACCTAAATCAGATATTGTTAATTGCAGCGATTGAATTCTACAATTATGTCTTCCAAATCAACACGTAGCTCCTTTTTCTCTCTAGTAATGGGAGGCAAAACAGAATGAACAATACATGTGAGTTGGTGACCATAACTATGTTTATATAACGACTGCCTATTAACTTAATTTGGCCCATCATTAAATTAGGGACAATGGCCTAGTCTCTACACATAAAGGCTCATACTTTAGTTAGATATATTGAGGTCCAAAATACCGAAATCTTATTAGATCACTTTAACTGGGCTTAACCATATTTGATAGTCTTTAATTTAATACACGATAATTCACATATTAACCCATACAATCGATTAAAATTCCTAACACCTAAATCTTAAATGAGTGACTGAGATTAGCTTTATCAAATTTGTTAAGGTCGGAATGACTCATGTTTCTAGATGGAATATCTAAAGAATATTAATCCTAAAAAAGAACAAAGTGCACATCATTAAGGTATTTAACTAAGATTTCTTGTATAATTACAAGTTAAAAGAAATAGTTACATACTTGCATGCTTGAGTCGAAAAAATTAAAGTAATCTTGTTGTATTTATAGGATTTCTCATCGCTCGAGTTTACATTATAATCACTTAAACATAGATATTTTCGAAGAAAGTACAAGAAAGCAATGTACATACTGTATAGACGAAAACGAATGCGATCAACGCAGAATAAAACTTTGGAATGAAAAAAACGTACAAAATTGTTTATAATTAAAATTCGAAATATTTGAATAATTATTAATTCCTTGCCAATCTACTAATCACTTCATTACGCAAGTTATTGTTTAATATATTCATATTAGTTGTATCATGGTTAAAAATATTTTAACAACGATCAAGGGAATCCCGTATCCTCATTCATCACAATTTTCGTTAGTCTTTGAAATTTAGAGGGACATAATATTTTAAAGTTCACATTTTGATTATGCACGGTTGAAGTTATAAAGTGAACATAGTACCTGTGAGAAATACATTTGTAGAAGTAGAGCAGGTGCAATCCGACTGAATCAATCAAAATTCACTTTATAATTTACAGAAAATTGGATGATTCGCTATGGAAGTGAAAGAAATTGTCTTCTCGAGCAGGTCCTGATCATGGCTTTAATTAAGATGCTGTAAAAATAGATTTTGTAGAAGCAGTCAACTTCTATGCATGGAAAATAGATATTATTGGCTCGGATTGTGCTACATGTACAAATACATTAGTACTAAAAGTTTTATACACTCTCACAATGTAATAGTAGGGACCACATGGCCGAATGTTTTATTGCAAAGGGGACCCGCATGCATGTGAGAGTGAGTAAACCATTTTGTCAACCAAATTTTGTACAAATAATTTTATCCTTATTGGCTCTGTATTTTAACACCCGCAACTTCCTATCTTATACTTGGGGAGTTCCTCTATACAAAGGGCATTACAGAAAATAAGGAACAAAAGAATTAATAGGCTGGGAAGTGGGAAAATAAATTACTTTACTGAAAAGTGTCGTCTCCTCCCGGCCTTCACATCTCCATTATAACAAGGTTAGAGGGGCTCGTTTATCTGGGCTTCATCTCTCAGCAAACATCCACGTAGGATGATTCATTGTAGAACACTAAAATATCAAAATCGAAAGAAAATGAGTGATCAATAACAATGGCTTCTATGATCATTATATTTATTTATAATATTTCAATATAATAGAAAAATGATGTACTAAAAAACCCGTCTTAATTTAAACTAAGCATCGATGACATGACACGTCAATCGATAGATGCATAGCAAATTTAATTCAAATATTAAAACATACCATAAAGTAATTTATATATCAATGTTGAGACATACCATGAACTTATCCATTTATGGATTAATGTGTTTAGCATAAACTAGGCATGATGCATAGTGGATTGATCAATTTGGTAAAATCAGTTCATTTACCGAGCTTAAAAGTCTTGTAGGATAAGGTTTAAATGCACATGCAATCTATATGATAGTCAAACAGAATAATATTTCCTTGATTTCATGTGATGTGTTATGTTTACAATTCTAGAAAAATTTGAATCTTTATTTATAAATGGATGATGTTAGATAATCTTAAACAAACCATACTGGACCACGTAATGGTCTAAAATCTAGATATTGGACTTTTACTTTATCTACCAAAAAACGACTACAAAGAAATATGAATAAATAAATAAAATCAATTCAAAAAAATGGTCAATTTTGATACACAAAATGGCCACTGTGATGGCAGACCATCTAATATTTATGTGAACCAAATGACAAATTTCTAGAATTTGTTAACCATTGTTAAAAGTTGTATTTTACTTTATTTATTGGTAATGGAGGTCTTTATTTTGGGGAAAGAACCTCTCTGTCATAAAATATAGATAATGAATCTCTCTCATAAAATATAGATAGAAAATTGGAAGAATCTGTAGAATATTGCTATATACAAGATCGATTTCATTTGACAAGATTAATGTGCAGAAGTTGGATGGGATGATCATCAAGTTCTTTTATGGTTCGCTACTCACAGTTGTCAATCTCCATTATGTTATTTAATTTCGGAGTTTACAAGTTTCATTTTGCCACAAGCGAAGTTATTTTTTATAATTCCGTATTTTCAGTTTTGAAGGAAAAAAAATACATATTTGAAAAGAATATGACAAGAATTTAACTATAATAATGTTTTTTCCTTGAAACACACCAAACCAATTAAATTGCTTGACGCAGTGCGAAAAGAAATTCAAGCGAAAACCTTAAGAATAAAAAATTTGGATCCACTAAATTATGAAGAAAATAATTCATGAATTTTATTGATGAATGATAGTAATATAAAATAAAATAAAAAATAACTCCTTATTTATAAGGGTTTACATGGAAACATAGTTTAAAACAATTAAAAGTAATAAAAACAAAATTTAAACAAACTAAAATTGGGGAAAAAAACCAACAAAGTGACAAAAATAGCATCAAAACTTTAAAAATTAGTTTTCGAGTCCTAGACGAACTCGAATAGCCAAAATCCATCTTACGTCACGATGTAACGTGAGTATTGTTCCTCTATCGTTCTCTATTCAAAATGGTACTATGGGTCCAATCCGAAATTAGGATACTTTCCCTCTACTAGTATATTTTCCCCCAACATGTCCTACATCATGATGACTATAAGTAATATGCAATAAGGATAATATTATCTCGTGCAACTTTGATTCGTAAATATCGAACTCTGTGTAGTCATGTCTCCATCTATGTACTCTATGTTGGGTTTGTGACCTAAATTAGACTGAATATATTTTTTTTTTTTGGG